TGTGTTTGTTTGTTTGTATAATTGTGTTAGCATGCTCGCATGTCTCTGATAAAAGGACGTTGGCTTCTGTGCGGCGCCAAGACCAGCTGTTTTAGGTTTTAAATCTCATGCATGTAGTATGTGCGCGCTTGAATGGGTGTTTTGTGTGTTACGGTTACCCATTTTAATTTGTCCTTGTAAGAGCATGTATTCTTGCCCTTGCCAATAAGCAAGTGTTTGTTTGTACAATTAGTGGTTTATTTCTCTGATTGGCAGCATTTTTATTCTAAACAGCTGATCTGTTTACCGTTACTGTTCCGCTTCGTTTTTATGTAACTTCATCATGAAATACGTGTGTGCATATGTATGTACATATGTATGTACATATGTACATAAGCTATTTGTGGGCCCATTCAGACCCCCACTCTAAGATACAATCAGATGGCATGCTTGATTATTTATATTTGTGGGGCGGTGTGGTTATTTTAACATCAACTTTACACTTAATAGTTTTTTATTTATTTAGTACATACTTATGTATGTACATACATATAGTATGTACATATATAATTTGATAAAAATGGGCGGTACCACACCAGCTACCTTAGGAGAAAATGCCATTATTACGTGGACGATGAGTAACCGTATCTACAACGGGGGGCGCTTCTAAGATATTAATTTTACCATCGAGTGGTGTACCATTCTAAATTTCTAACTGATTGGACTTCTTTGTTGGGGCTTTTCTGTCATCTAGTATATTTCGCGTTTATTAATAAAGTGGAAAAGCGAAAAAATTTATATTATTGGGCGGAAAAAACATGAAAATAAATAAAAGCATAATTTTATTCTATTTGCTATTTGCTATCCCTCGCCTTCTATGTTCACCGTTAAATATTGGTTATAACTTGATTTAAAAACAGCTCCACAGAAGGTTGATGTATACGTTCCATCACCCCAGAACATATTAGGCTAGAAATCGTTGGTCACAGAAGGGAAAAAGGCAATCAGTGTATATCATTACAGTCAGCATTTTGACAAAATTGATGCGAAGTTAACCGGCATTTGGCCACGATGACGCACCAGCATATTCGTCATTATCGTGGGCAAATTCTACGAACTGCTTTATAAGTTGCCATCCACTTGGGGGACTTCCCTCCCTTCGTCATCCTTTTTTTATTCTCAAACAAAAAATGACTTGGAGGAAAGTAAGTCCGGCTTTAACCGTTATTCTATAGCAGATACGGGAGCCTACTTTGGATATATTAAAAAGACACATGTTTTGAAAGCGTTAAATTAAGCTACAATTAAGAAATCAATGGTATTACGTTCGAGTTCCAATTAGAATATGAAAACATAAAAAAAAATAGCTTTACCACAAAGCGAACACAATCTTCAGTTATACCTTAGCAATATGTATCGCATATGAAAACATTTGTTACTTTAAAGAAGTATGAATGAACTTTGATCTAAAAGGTACAGCCAACAAAACGTGCACAGTTGGGATATAAATTGTGTAACTAATGGAAAAATAGTCCATCAATATGCATTAGGAAATGAAATTTTTAAACTTCCCTCCAACTGCACATTTTTATATTTTAAATAAAAAGAGGCCATAAAGCAAAGCTAAGCCCTAAATTCTATATTCATTTTCAACAGAGCTCAGATAAAATTCATTTTATATGTCACGGTCATAAAAGCAGAAAGGCAAAACATCTAACCAATCCACCTTGAACCCAACGCCGAGCGTCGAACGCATCCATGACGAGAAAACCAATCGCACAATTACCTGACATCGAACGAACCTAAAACTTTTTATTTTTGCTGCCGCAGCTGAACAAGAAATACTTCGAATGTATAACATAAAAATAAAGAGCAGTCGTAGTGGTAGGTAGACGTATAGAGCAGAGTACTAGGCAGACAATAGAGCGCTGGAATACAGATATGTACAAAAGATATGTGCGGCAGCAATAATGATGGCAAACAACCAGAGAAGGTAGACAGACATAATACGACCCGGCCAGGCCAACCAAGAACCGAAACCAAAATCAAAACTGAACCGAAGTGAGTTTGCCACAACGCTTAAGTATGCTGCTGCTTGATGATGATGACGAAGATGATGATGCACGAAATTTTACGAAGTCCCCAGCAGCTCGAAATGTTGAGCGGTTGCTGTAGGCAGCCTTGGTATTATGGCTATGGATAGGGGCAGAGGTAAGGGATGGACGCGGGCGCCGTGAAAGGCGGCAACTCGAAGCGATTAAGATAAAGTGCCAATCGATATAAGGGAAAGAAAGCGGACGAGCAAGATGTAGCTACCAGCTACGAGTTACCAGCTATACTCGCCCATAGTCCCCTCACCGAGCTAGCTAGCTGACTAGAGCTGTATGTGTATATAGAAAAGACATGAAAGGAAATATAAAACCATTTATAAAGCAAGTCAGTCAGGGGAGATTTGAATTGGAATTGATGGTGTAGCGCACTCGAGAATATGGCATGGGTGTGCATGCTATACATATATAAATATATAAATATGTATGTATGTATATATGGGTGTTTGTATCTCTGTATGTTTGTAAATGTGTGCGTTGGTATTTTGCAAACGAATCGAGTCGTGGTGTTGTATGTATGGATGTGTCAAGGTACAAACGTGCTGCTGCTCTATCTTCTTCCTTTACTTCTTCCTTGAAAACAAGGATGAGGAAGGGTTCGGTTCGGGTTTGGTTTTTGTTTTGGAATTGGATTTGGACTCGGCTAGGGCTTTGTGTTGAAAAAGATTCCGGCACAAAGTTTCTCCTTCTCGCTCTGCATGATAATGCAAAAAGTGCCGAGAACAGAAAAAATGTTTAGACTGGTAGAATCACGGGTATTTGACTTATGTATACCCTTTAAGAAACTGGAAAATTACGATATCGTAATAAGCAAAGAATCTTGTAATACAAAACCTGGTATTTTATACCGATAATTTCTATGACAGAATATAGTGAAACATTATAAAAAATTGACAAATACCAAATTTAGTTAAGATATCGAAATAAACAGAAGAGATTTTAATAGTAAGAGTGATCGTTCCTAAGGCAGCTATATAAAATGAGTTGGTTATATATGTATGTCTTGTAATAAACTGAGTTTGCGAATGGATAAGATAAGTCTACATGCCAATTTTTAGTCTTCTTAGCTATTATGATTCCAAAAATCTTTACGTTCATACGGATGAACAGGCGGGCATGGCTATAGATACATATAGTATTTCGCTGATTTCAAACGTATGTACACCATAGTGCCTCACTTCTCCTTCTAACGGTTACATACATAATGAACGCCTTAGCATACCCTTTTATGCTTCAAGAACAGGGCAACCAAATAAGAGAAAAAACGACCAGCTGGCAAATGGTAACCACCCCTAAGTAAATGGAAAAGTTGACGCAGCTCGGCTGAAAGATAAAACCCAATTCCGTAAATCCAAGCTAAATGAAAAAACAAAAAAAAAACTGCTAATGACTTAACAGAAAATGTATATTAGGTATATATATTATAAACGGAAATGGGTCTGAATGCTTATACGTACATATGTACAAGGGGAACAACCGGAAATTCTTAGCAGGCTAATTTCAATCTACTCACTGTTTTTAGAGCGAATTTCAAAATAAAACGGACATGCTGCTTGTATTAAGTCATCTTACACCTCAACGCTGATTATCCAAAGACCGGCTCTGACTCAGGTGTTTTTCGATATATAATTCTGCCGCCTTGCTGCCTTGTGTGCCTCCCCCAGCATCAGCAGCAGTGGCAGGCGCAGAGGCGGAAAGTCGTTTGCTCGGTCGTTCGTTCGTTAGTTGGTAGGTTTAAAAAAAAAGCTTGTAGCTCTCGTCGTCGGGTCTGCTGGGGTCTAAAGCATGACTCAGCAGCTTGAGGTGCGACTAAGATGTTCGCTTTAGGCAAGCGTTGCTGTTGTAGCCTCGCTGATAGCTGGTTGTACATATATGTATGTATACATATGTAGAATGTATGTGTATATGTGAGTGTGTGTCTGTGTTATACGATATGGGCGCCCCATATTGGACGTACGACTGTTTCAAGTTTTTGGTTCAAAAAGGTATTATCGATTTCTAAAAGGCGTACGCATACCACAGACGTTGGCTCAGCAGCTTAATAGGTGCGCCTGTATATACATAAATACATACACATGCATGCATACATACATATGTATGTAGCCACACACATATAAGTTTATTGTCGTATCTTGAGACCGACTGATGATATATTATTATTATAGCTCTTGAGTATGTACATATGTATGAATTTTTATATATATTTTAAGTGCTTTGCAGCTTGTGTGCAGATGGTGTATTTTAGACAACTATAGCATTTATTTTTACCTACACACATACAGTAGATATGTATGTACATACCTGATGTATATGTATGCTCAGAGTTTGCTTATAGTTTTCGATATAAAACAATATGCGGGTTGGTGGGCGTCCTTCGGGCCTAATTAAAATGATTCATCGTATTTTTTGCATTGCATTTGAGATTTCACACAACAAATTTAATGATTGGGGACTTAAGATAAATAACGCAATTGACCCACACGTACACATGTAAATACGTATGCATGTGTGTGCACACATTTGTTATAGCATTTGCCACTTGATTTATCACAATCATGTCATTGCACTACCTTCTCTGTATTACTCCGTTCAAAATATGTATTTACGTTGGTGAAACTATAGTTTGTTAGTTGTGCGTTTAGCACAAAATAAATTTTTAGAACACTTGTTGCTGACCCGCCGCGTCCAGCTGTTTTGCATACACACAACTTATGCACGTATATTCATATTTACCGTTGCATTCACATCGTTGCCAGATCAATTGAACATAAGAGCGAAGTTCAAAGCAGAGGAAGAGCAACGAATAAGAAGAGATGTTTAAGTAAATTAGTTTTCACCGGTTCCAATTTTCCAAATTTCTAAAGTATTTTGTCTTTTTACATTGCAGTTGCAACGCCAAATTGCATCAAGAAACTATAATGCCCACAATACGCCGTTGCTGTATAGTGGGCTGCAATTCCAATTCCCGTCAAAGTCCTAATATGCAATTTTTTGCATTTCCACGCCCAGATAATCCATTTCACAAACTCTGGAAGGAGGCGTGCCACGCATCGCTCCGTCGTATTTTGCCCTTCAAGAAGCCTGTTGTCTGCGCCCTACACTTCGATCAAAGCTGCCTAGGCGGACGACGTTTACAATCGAACGCCCTACCCACGCTGAGGTTGGAGGTGCCCTCAAATCTGGAAGCTATTGAAGCACAAGCCATGGTGGAGGAGATCGAGCGCAGTCGCAAGTGTGCATTCATAAATGCCGTGGTGTACGAGTGGCTCGTACGTGCCAACATCAATCCACAGCTGAGGGGCAGCATCACACATGGCATGATTAAGGAAAAGGCTGAGAATGCACGTCAGGTGATCGGCAGCACTTCATTCATGGCGGACAATCGTTGGCTGAATCGCTTTCGCGAGACACATCTACAAGGTTTTGCACAAAAACTGGCCGGCAATCAGCTAAAGCCGATGGGCACATCACTTTGGATACCCGATATTGTTCAGGATCTGTCGCATTTGTTCCCGCCGGCCAGTGCCGAGCGCGTTGCCAAATTGGAGGATATGCCCGAGCAGTATATGACATATATGCAACAATATGGCGAATACGAGGAAGACGAGGATAGCATGGATATGAAGGAGCAGAGCTATCAGGAGCAACAACAGCAAACACACTACGCACTGCAACAGCAACAACAACAGCAGCAACAACAGCAACACATGCAACAACAACATCAATTGAGTGCAGGCTGGCCGCCTTACGGACATCCCCCTCCGGTGCCACATCCGCATCCCGGCTTCAATGGCTTCAATGACTTTTACTTTGAGCGTCATCAGCAGCAATTGCAGCAACAACAGCTGCATCATCATCAGCAGCAACAGCACATGCAACCTTATCCACCGCTTCACGGAATGCCACCTCGTCATCCGTCCTTAACACCGCCACAGCAGCGTGAACCATTCCAGACACAGTTACCACCGAATGTGCCCCCGCCGCTACCTCAACGTCTCAGTCCTTTCCAGGCCGTGCAGTTACCCAAACGTCCCAAAATCGAGTCTCCCGATGATGATGAAGTGCAAGAAATCAATGCTTCCGCCACTCGCATATCGCCGCTGCCCTTAGCTGAATCCACCCTAGCCATACCCGATGTTAACGAGAATATAACGCCAAGTAGTCCGAGTTTAAAACAAAATCAGGAGCAGAACAACAACAGCAATGGGTCACCAAGCGGTCGTGACAGTGCCAGTAGCAAAGAAAATATGGAAAAAAAAAATGGTGGTCCCAGTGGCAAGTCGACGCCTGCGCTCTCACACAACAACGGTCAGAATTCCCCCGCGCCCACACCCTCCTGCAATTCTACACCTGCGTCCCCTAAGAAAAGCATCAATGGCTGTGGCAATAACAATGCAATAAATGGTAATGGCAGCGCTAGCAGTTCTGGTAGCCAAACTAATGGACACACCTCTCCAGAGCCCAACGGTATGCCCAGTGCTTTCAAGGAACTTGACACATACACACAAGCACTAGAATACCTCAAACCGTTAGAGGATTTTGTGCTATTCAAGGAAAACTTCCGTGCGATTGGTTTGCTCTCACAGCTGGAATTGGTGCTGCGGAAAGGGGACAAGGCTACACTGATCGAGGGTTAAGCGAGCCAAGCTTCCAGCCCGCCCACACATCCAATGACAAAAACACAAATGTGATTAAATTGAGCAGTGTATATGTATATACAGATATATGTGAAATAGTAAAATACTGATATTTGTACCTAGCGTTAATTTTCGCTTAAGTCATCGAATTAATGTTTTCCAACTGCTATGAAACTGTAAAACGTTCTATTATTATTTATTATTTTAATTTAAGCCACATTTTCAATGAGATTAAAATAGAAAATTTAAGTTATTTATATTGAATTCCTAGGAAGATTGTTTATTGTTTATTTTGGACTGGAAGTTGCGCGGGCAAATCTGAAACAAGTGGCAGCGTTAGCTGCCGTTAACTGGGTGGCAGCACCAGCAAACAAACAAGTATTTCCCAACACTTAAATACTCTGGTGGCATTGTGAACAGAATAGCAAAGTACGAATTATAAACAAATACGTATAAATTGCATAAAAGCAATGTCGCTTTTAGAACAATATGAACAGCAATACGCAGCACTAATTGCTGAAATAACCGCACATATAGGAAGACTCCAGCAATTACAAGCTGGCAGCAGTAAGTAAGATAGTAGCATATGTGCACACACAAACACTGACATATGCATGTATGTATATGCCATTTGCAAAAATAAACAGGCGACCGACATGAACTGTCCAACAAAATCGATGCAAGCCTGCCAGAGGCACAGGAGCTGCTTGAACAAATGGGACTGGAGGTGCGAGAACTTAATCCTGCACAGCGGAACAGTTTTAACAGCAAACTTCAGGTGGCTCAAGCAGAACTTAAACGCCTACAGACAGAATATAAACAAACGAAGGCCAAATTCCGGGCACAACCAAATACCTTCACCACACTAGACTTGGATAGCGCCGGTGACTACTACGAGGATGTATCTATTAGCAATGACCAAAGGCAGCGGTTGCTGGAGAACTCGGAACGCATTGAACGTACCGGGAATCGGTTGACAGAAGGCTATAGAGTGGCGGTGGATACTGAGCAGCTTGGCACGCAAGTGTTAAACGATTTGCACCACCAACGAGAAACACTGCAAGGAGCCAGAGCCCGCCTGAGGGAGACGAATGCAGATTTGGGTCGTGCTTCACGCACTCTAAACACAATGATGCTCAGAGCTCTTCGCGAAAAGGTCGTGCTGTATGGTGTGGGCGTATGTTTTGTGGTCGCTGTCGGTGTCAGTATCTATTTGACATTTGCGCCAGGTTCTTCGAGTACAACCGCATAGTTACAGGCAGCGGACGTGGCGTAGCACAGTCATTTGATTAATAGCCTAATTCTAGAATAATCTTAAAAGGCATTATTGGCACATTCCTTTGCAATGTAAATTGTTTATTTATTATTTAAAGTAAGCTGTGAATAATCACGGATTATTAATTTATTAGCCTTAGGTGGCATTTCAAGAAGCGGCCTAATTTACGTGTTTATGTATGTATGTACTATGAACTTATTTACTATTTTATTTATATTAATATAGTTAAAACTTGTTCGTTGGCTAGATGTGCCTTCAGTGGCATGACTTAGCATATATGTATGTATGTATGTGTGTATGTATGTAAACGCCTAAAATGTAGTCATGTTTAATTTTGTTCTCACTGTTTTTTTGTTTTTGGGACGTATTCTTGCATAAATTCGAAAATAATATTTACAAATCATAAAATTAACCAAAACGATAAACTACATATTCCTCACGTTAATAAATTAAATCAATATATAAAACAAATGCGTCTGCATTGAGTTCAGCGTCAACTTCTTAGCCAAACTCAATGTTCCCCAACTGCTAGCAACTACACGAGGTGCCCTCTTCATTGATCTCGGGCTCGGAGGCCGTATCGATTTGAAAACTTTTCTGTTCAAGGGCATGCAGCTCCATTTTGGAGCGGTTAGCCTGCACCAGCTGACGTGAGATGTCCTGAAACATTTCGTCGATACCCTCGCCAATCTTACAGGATGTCTTGTAGGTGGCACTTATCAGCGTGTGACATTGTTCGCAAAAGGCTTCCACCTCCTCGTCACTGACTTCCGGTTCACGACCCTCGAGATCGCTTTTATTACCACATATAAAGATCTTCGCATTCTCCGCATAGGTCACAATATCAAGCAAGTGTTGTGAAAGCGAATGAAAGGAGGCTGCATTATCCAAAGCAAAAACCAGAATAGCACCCTCTGCGAATTTATAGTAAGATGATGTTACTGAAGCGACACGCTCCATGCCACCAGTATCCCAGAGTTGGAGCTGCCATAGAACAAGCACATATTCATAAGTTTAATATTATATGGTTCTCGCTAGTATAGCTGCAGCACCTTTATTTGTTTATCGCCAACTTTATATTCCCGATCTATGTGATCCAGGCCAAGAGTCGACTTTCGATCCGATTCACTAACAAACGTGTTGTTGGTGAAGCGTCGAAATAGTGAACTCTTGCCCACGCCATAGTCCCCGCATAGTATAACTTTTTGTCTGGGTATTCGCACTGTCGCCATAATTAACGCGCACAACTTTGCTGCGTAAGTAATTTAATTAAATCGCAGACACAGACACAAAGAAAATAACAATGCCAAAACAGCTGTTCTCCAGACAATGTGACGGCACGGAGCTGCCACCTGGCAAACTAAATTATCGATAATAGTCGCAAAAAGCGCTCATTTCCAAATATTTGAATTCCGCAATTTCAGTCTTATATGTGTTTACTGTTCCCGTTTTTCAAATTGCCCGGTATGAAAGAAAATTGCCTCAAACAAATTATATTTGTTATTAAACAAAATGAGAGCGTAAGCCCTGATGTATAGTCGAAGTGGTTATCTTTAGTTAATACATTATACATAGAAGGTAATATATTTTATAGTCAGTGTTTACATCTATCATATATTGGATAACTACACAATTTCAAATAGGCATTTTCTCGGCGGGCTTGTGCTGTGTCTTGCTATGATAAGGTTCTATAAATAACTTGGGTCGACGATTCCAGTTAGAGTTGAACTCAAAAGATAAGCGACACTTGGTCTGAGTGCATTGCGTCGAAAATGGTACAAACATCACATTTTTTTGTTTTACTCGCACTTCTAGTGTATTATGCAAATGGTAAGTATAATTACGGCAGCTATACGAGTGTGTTGGGCGCGTTGATTTGAACATTTTAAATGGATATAGGTGAAAAATGAATCAAATGGAATAATGATTATTAATTTAACTGAGCTAATTATAATTAAACTAGCGATAATAAGTCGATTGAATGAGGTAATCTCGAATGAAAAATTTCTAAAGAGCGCGTTCATTGACGCTCAATTACGTACATTAATTTTATAATTAAATACATACAGGAAGGGCTGGTTACGGACCGGGCGAGCAAGACTGGGGCTATGTCGATATACGTACTGGAGCTCACATGTTCTATTGGCTCTACTATACCACAGCGAATGTGTCTACCTACACGACCCGCCCATTGGTGATTTGGTTGCAAGGAGGTCCGGGTGCCTCTTCCACTGGTTATGGCAATTTCGAGGAATTGGGTCCAGTGGATTTGTTTGGCCATCAGCGGAATTGGACTTGGGTTAAGGACATGAACGTAATCTTCATCGACAATCCAGTGGGCAGTGGCTTCAGCTATGTGGATAACCCTGCTTATTATACGGCGACAAATAAAGAAGTTGCTTTGGATCTGGTAAATTTTATGAAAGGGTTCTATGCACTGCATCCAGAGTTTGAAACGGTACCTCTGCATATTTTCTCTGAGAGTTATGGTGGAAAAATGGCCACGGACTTTGCCTTAGAGCTTTACAATGTTCAACACCGCGGTGAACTTAAAAGCAATTTGGTTTCTGTAGCTCTTGGTGATCCATGGATATCGCCCATCGACTCCGTGCTGGCTTGGGGTCCTATGTTGCTGCAGTTCGGTCTTGTAGATCATGAGGGTTACGAGTCCATTATGACGGCTGCCAACCTTACAGCTAAATTGGTCGAAGACGAACGTTGGATTCAGGCAACTGCTCAGTGGGACATCACACAAGACGTAGTTTTACAGGCTTCGAAGGGAGTAGACAGCTACAATGTTTTGAAGAAGACACGCGAGCAGAAAAGCTTTTCTCCGAAGGGTGAGTTTTTCCAGGAATTTAGAGCTAATCGTTGAGTTGTTTATTGGTAGAACGCCTCTATCGCGCTATGAATAACAAAGCCGACGACCTTAGCCATGAGGATCGCGATCAGATGCTTCTTAATCTCATGCGCGGTCCCGTAGCTAAAGCACTGGGAATACCTAAGACGATTCGTTGGGGCTCACAAGGCGACACGGTCTTTGAAATACACCAAACGGATTTCATGAAGCCAGTAATACATATAGGTAATGCCTTAGAATGTGCGATGGTTGATATTAAAAATCAATATTTATAGTTAATGAGCTTCTGAATAAGACATCCCTTAAAGTGGGTGTGTATTCGGGCAGTTTGGATCTGATTTGCGCTACTCCGGGCACTCTGAAGTGGATCGAGAAGCTGGACTGGAACAGGAAGTGGGAATATGCAAAGGCGCCACGTACTGCCATTTACGTTCACCATGTTCTTGAGGGTTATCAGAAGACGGGCGGCAACTTCAGCATGTTTTGGATCAATCGCTCTGGCCACATGGTGCCGGCCGACAATCCAGCTGCCATGAGCCACGTACTACGCAAGTTTACCAACTACGGTTAGAGTATTTAATAATGAGCCACAGCTATTAATTAACCCTAATTGATAATAATCATGAAAAAATGTGTGTGAACCTTAGATTAGATTTTTTACTAATCGAGTGGATTTAATTGCCGATCTTATTAGCGATAAGACTCACCATATGTGTAAAGCGACATTTATGCGAGGAAATCAGTCAGTTGGTTATAGCGCACTCTATTGAAAATGTGTGGGAACCTAAAGCTTATTGTGGTCTTATTAGCGAGTTACGCAACATTAGCGAATGGCAAGTGAAGTCTAATGGGTCAGACCTAAGAGATCAGCTAATTATGTTATGAAAACCCATAGGAAGAGCTGGCTATGGACCGGGCGAGCAAGACTGGGGCTATGTAGATGTGCGCACGGGAGCCCACATGTTCTATTGGCTCTACTATACCACAGCGAATGTTTCTACCTATACGACCCGCCCCTTGGCGATTTGGTTACAAGGAGGCCCGGGCGCCTCGTCCACTGGTTATGGCAATTTCGAAGAGTTGGGCCCATTGGACTTGTACGGTGACTATAGGAATTGGACGTGGGTAAAGGACATGAACGTGCTCTTTATCGATAATCCAGTGGGCAGCGGCTTTAGCTATGTGGATAACACAGCTTTCTATACGGCCACGAATAGGGAAATCGCATTGGACTTAGTCGAGTTCATGAAGGGTTTCTATGCATTGCATCCAGAATTTGAAACGGTGCCTCTCCACATATTCTGCGAAAGCTATGGTGGAAAAATGGCACCGGAATTTGCTTTAGAGCTCTACTACGCTAAACAGCGAGGTGAGCTTAACAGCAATTTGGTTTCGGTAGCTCTCGGTGATCCGTGGACATCGCCCATCGACTCTGTGCTGGCTTGGGGGCCATTGTTGCTTCAATTCGGGCTTGTCGACCATGACGGTTATGAGTCCATTATGGTGGCCGCCAACCTTACAGCTGAATTGGTCGAACAGGAACGTTGGATTCAAGCTACGGCACAGTGGGGTAACACTCAGCAGGAGGTGATGAAAGCGTCCAAGGGAGTGGATTTTTATAATGTTCTCAAAAAGACGCGTGGCGATCGCTACTTAAGCGATGAAAGCCCTTCTCCGGAGGGTGAGTTCGTTCAAGTTTTGAAGAAAATCCACTAAAAAGCTCCTTTATAGAAGATCTTTACCGCCTCATGGTGAATTACGATATTGATGAAGATCGCGATCAGCTGCTCCAAGATCTCATGCGTGGTCCGGTAGCTCAGGCTTTGGGTATTCCAAGCAATGTTCGTTGGGGCTCACAGAGTAGTGAGGTGTTCAATATACATCGAACTGATTTTATGAAGCCAGTTATACATATTGGTAAGCAATTAAACTGCATATAGCGGTGTTGCGGACTTAAAATCTCAACTTTCCATAGTCAATGAACTGCTGGACAATACACCGTTGAAGGTGGGTGTATTTTCGGGCGGCTTGGACTTGATTTGTGCTACACCTGGCACTGTGAAGTGGATCGAGAAGCTGGACTGGAGCAAGAAGGCGGTGTATGAGGAGGCACTGCGAACAGTCATTAACGTGGATCGTGTGCTGGAGGGCTATCAGAAGACGGGCGGCAACTTCAGCATGTTTTGGATAAATCGTTCAGGCCATATGGCACCCGCCGACAATCCCGCCGGTATGGGTCATGTGCTACGAGAGTTTACGGGCTTCGGATAATGTTTTATCTATTGTCTAACAAATAAAAAGGAGTACTGACACCCATGTTTGATAAAATTAATAAGTAAGCCCTTGAGACGCATTTAAAAGTAAGTGCGAACGTAACTGATAGGCGACGGCAAACTGTAGCTTTAATTATGCCAACTTAAAGGCTTTGTTAGTTACTGAAAGTGATATTTGCAGTAACCAGTAAGTGTCAAAAATAGATCAGCGGCCAAACGTGTCGGGCACTCAACTCATCACTGCCAATTCCAACTTATGTGTCGATCATAAATTACAAAAACACCATAGGATCGCCATCAGATTAGAAATTCTGTTCGCGAAGCGTTGGCGTGCTTTCTTGCTTCCAAGACGTGAAATAAACGACCAGACGCTCGCCACGATCGCAGCGGTGAGGTTCTTGAAAGTGCTGTCGAAATGGTCCGTTTTTCAATGTACTTGACAGCTTTTGTGGCGTTGTTTGGTTTCTGCACTGTGCAGGGTAAGTGCTGGGAACTATCAACTTGAATCTTAAGGAATTTAGGGCAGCACTAATGATATGTATAACGTCGCTCTACAGCCCGCACTGGTTATGGACCTGGTGAGCAGGACTGGGGTTTTGTGGATGTACGAAAAGGGGCTCATATGTTCTATTGGCTCTATTACACCACGGCCAATGTGACGGACTATACCGAACGTCCTTTGGCCATTTGGCTGCAAGGTGGTCCAGGCGCTTCCTCTACGGGCTACGGTAACTTCGAGGAGCTGGGACCGTTGCAGCTCAATGGCGAGTATCGAAACTGGACTTGGGTTAAGGACATGAATGTCATGTTCATTGACAATCCGGTTGGCAGCGGCTTCAGTTACGTTGACGGAATTTCATACTACACCACTACGAACAAACAGATTGCCTTGGACCTGGTTGAACTCATGAAGGGATTCTATGCTAATCATCCGGAATTCAAAAAGGTGCCTTTGCACATCTTCTGCGAAAGCTATGGCGGCAAAATGGCGCCTGAATTCGCCCTAGAACTTTACTATGCCATACAACGTGGTGAGATCGAGAGTAATTTGGTTTCGGTGGCTCTGGGCGATCCCTGGACCTCACCCATTGATTCAGTGCTCTCTTGGGCACCGTTTCTACTGCAGTTGGGCATCGTAGATCAAGATGGCTACGACAAGATTGAAGCATCCGCCTTGAAGACGCAGAAACTTGTCGAAGAGCAGAAGTGGACACAAGCCACCATACAATGGAGTACCACGCAAGGAGTGGTGTTGCGTGAATCTAAGGGTGTGGATTTCTATAATGTAGAAAAACCGACAAATGGCGATGCCTACAGCTTAAGAAAACTGGAGAGTCTTAGCTCCAAGGGTCTGTATTTATCTACAGTTACAATTAATTGTTTTCTCACAAGTGCATTTTTTGTAGAACTAATGTACCGCCTGCTCGTTCACTACGACATTGACGAGGATCGCGATACGATTTTGGATGAGCTTATGCTGGGCCCAGTTACTGAAGCCTTGAACATTACCACCGGAGTCAAGTGGGGCGCTCAAAGTGGAACAACCTTTACACGATTAATGGGCGATTTCATGAAACCCGCCGTGCACATTGGTATGCCTTTTCAACAAAAAATTTACAACTTAATGTCAATTTTCTTTATGCCAAACAGTCAGCGAGCTACTTAACAATTCCACAGTGAAGGTGGGCGTTTTCTCGGGTGGCTTGGATTTGATTTGTGCCACGCCTGGTGCTGTAAACTGGATCGCAGAAATGGAATGGAACGGCAAAGTTGACTATCTAGCTGCCCCACGCACTGGCATTAATGTGGATCGCGTGCTGGAGGGCTATGAGAAAACTTCGGGTAATTTTAGCATGTTTTGGGTAAATCGTGCCGGTCATATGGTACCCGCCGATAATCCAGCTGCCATGTCGCACATATTGCGAGAGTTTACCAATTTCGGTTAAGACCAGAATATAATTATATTCATATTGTATTTAACAATAAAATAAACAACATAACATTCGAATCACTAGATTTTCTTTTAGGCCTCTTTTGGAAAATCAGTTTAGCACAATAAGGTTTTATGGAAAAATTAAATAATTTTATGTTATAATAACTCATCTTATGTCCCTATTATAGGGTACTTAAATAAAGCAAGTTTGCTTCCAATATATTATTTTTTAGTTACATTTCTGGAAGATCTTCCACAGATTCCAACTATCAAGATAGCATACATAGCGCAATTTATTAGGAGTTTCGAATCGTTTACGATAGACCCATAATAAAATAAGAGATTATATGGCAACAGGAGGAGGAGCGATAGCCACATCAACTAAATTTCAAACGTGTCTCAATCATGTATAGACACACATATTATACCCTTACATAATTTACTCGAACATTTTAACCTTTTACTTAAATTTTCATAATAAAGTTTTCAATAAAGATTTTTTATCAATTACTTAACGTATATTTTCTTTACATTTTAGTTTTCTTATTCTGTAAAGAGAAGAGCTCGCGTCAATTTTATTGACAATATTTAAAAACTATATAAAAATTAAAATTTGGATTAAATAATGCACGATTCATATGATCAATGAAAAAACTTCAACAAATCCAACTCAGTTTCCTTGCCTTCCATATATAGGCTATAATACTAAGTAAGTGTATGTACTTTATAAAAATAAATAAAAAAAATTATAGATACAAAATATAAAAATTGACGCTGAGCCCAGGTATTTTAATAATAATAATTAATACTCATATACCCAGTGTCTTATAAAAAGGTTCTTTCCTCTATTTTTTCCTCATCCTGAATTTTACTCCTTGCATATGTATGTATGTATCTGCAATATGTACATATGTATGTATGTATGTATGTATGTAATAATTTGAAATTACCTAATTACATAATGGCAATGTCTACTTCAAACAACTAACCAAATAACGTGATTAAACTAAAAATTCATGCCATTGGATTGGTCTAATTCTGCAAAAGAGAAGAATATTAAGCTAATAAGAATGGTGTGCAATTTACTTATTCAACTAAATGCATGTAAAAGCACAAAGAAGGGAGAGTTAATTCTGCCGGCATTGCCAACAGTGTGCGATCGAACGTGTCAATGCGTTGCAACGCAAAGTTAACTGTAAATGTCGCAGATGCGCAGTAAAAATGTCTCATGAAAAGCACACCCACACACCGACAACATTGAAACCTATCGGCAACCCTCTCTCCGTGTAGCGGCCTTATCAAACGGCAAAGGCAAGCTCTCCGCCGGCGCGCAGCAAATTTCTCTCTGCAACGCGCTGCGCATTCGCGAGAGCGCACGGTACGGCACGGCAGCAGGCGGCCATCTATTTTTATACAATTCTAGTCGACGGCGGAAAATTCAAGCGTACACACGTGCACGAGTGTGTCGTCCATTTTGCATTTTAATAAACATTTGCAGCTACAACAACATAAAGTGCAGGAAAATACTTGCAACATTGTGAAATCGAAAAGAACATAAACAAGTTTGAACTTAATGCAATGAAAAGTCGAATAAATAACAGCAAGAACAGCGTGAAAATGAATGTTGGCGATGGCGACGTTTTGTAGCTGCCAACGCGCATAATCGTAGCCAGTGCGCACACACACACACACACACAGCCCAACAGCATACGCACACACACATACTCATAAAGGGTGCCTTAGTTGTAACTGTGGGAGAGGGTGAGTGTGCGAGCCACAAAGTCAAAACAACAGTGGAAATTCGCCAGCGCCAGTTGCGGAACCAACGAAACTTTAAAGATACAATTTAAAGATAGAATTTCGTGTACGTAGAGACATACGGAACAATGCGAGTGCGCGACAAGCGCAAGCAACAACAAAAGGAGGCGAAGTCACAAAATGAGACTTCTAAAACGCCCCCGCCGGCAAAGAATAAGGTACGCCCATTAAACCATATAGGTTTTGAAGTTCTATCTAAGCATTTCCTCTTTATTCTTTTGTAGCTTCGTGAGGATATTATGACGCCACCACCGGCACCGCCAACCACGCCCACACTGCCGGCAGCCGAGAAGGTTGCGTTTGACAATCGCATCAAGCGCAAGAATGTTTTGGCGCTGAACGAAAAGGTGGCCGCTTTGCGGGAATACGATCGCCAGCCGGTGTACAAGCATGTGGGACGAATGTTTAACTGCAGTCCGGATCAGATCAAGCGGATTGTTACGCAAAGGGGCGAGATCTTGCAGGCATGGGAGCAGCGTACACGTCGCAGTCAGGATGCACGCACGCGGGAGATGAAGGTTGTGCGCTGTTCAATGCTGGGACGCGCCGTCTACGAATGGATACGACGCATGATGTACTACAAGGACTTCAGCATTACCGATGGACTTATACAGAAGATGGCACTACAGTTTAAAAGCTCCATGGGTCTCAACAACTTCTTTCCCCATCCGGATTGGTGTGATAAGTTGCGTCAGACATACGATATACAGAAGACTGACACAAAACTCTTGAAGATCGGCTATACACAAGGTTTCTCGGTGCAGATTAAGGACATTGTCAATGATATCATGACCGAGTGCTCACAGGATGCCACAAATGGAGCAACAGACGGCGGCATTATAGACGACGAGGAGGATGAACGCCACAGTCGAAGTGGTGTTGATGCTTCTGCCACCACCAATGGTAGTGTCAGTAGTCGTGCTGGCAATGGGGATGTGGAGGATGACGTCGATATCGATGGAGGCGGTAGCAGTGAGCACGAGGACGAAGATGTGAAGCCGTCGCTACACAAACTGAATTTGGCGCTGCAGCAGAAACTTCCACTATCGTCATTGGTCGGCTTACCACTGACATCTCTCACACCACCCGGCACATCTCAGAAAGTATTGCTGGCCACGCCCATTCTACCGTCAGGCACGCCCAGTACGGGTGCGCAGCCCATGACTATGACGATCATACCATTGGCTACGTTGGCACAGAGCATGACACAGCATCCATCGTCCAAAGCAGGCGCACAAGAGTTGACCACGCCCGTCTCGCAAGTGCCTGGCAAAGTTCCTACACTGCCACCGCCTATGCTTGATATTAAAAAGGAAATTAAAACTGAGCCTTTAGATGAAGCGGAGTCGCTGCCGGTGCAAGCTCAGCCGGTGCCATCAAAATCGCCGTCCGTACGCATTAAGGAGGAGGTGGAAAGCGATCTGGAGTGTGAAGATTTCGGGGAGGGTTGTGATGACGAGGACGACTTTAATGGGGGTCGCTCTAGTGTAACCTCCTTGGCCGAAGTGCTGGCCGCGAATGTGGAGGACGAAAAAGAATATATCGAACACACAAGAGCTATGCGCAAACGTAAGTTCAGCCTAACTTCAGAGGTTGAAATGGATTCCAGACTACCACCACTCCCAGTGCTGACCAAGGCACCGACTCCACCAAAGCGTATAATGAAACGTCGCCACGATGACAACAACAATGCCGGCTCAGCTGATCCAGCAGATCATCAATCACAGTCGGTTATCAGCTGTGCGGAGGCACGCAAGTACCTGAAACTGCTGGAGGAATTCGCTCTGCACAAAGAGAATTACCGTCTGATTGAACTGATAACACGCGCCGATGAGGTGATGCGGGAACTGGACGATAATGATTCAGCTTAGATTATAAAAAATGAGAATACGGTCGGGGAATTGAGGGTTTGAAGTGAGCAGCGCCAACCAAAGAGAATGATTAGTTTGTAAATCACACACACACACATACATCTTGAAGATGCAATTCGATGCAATCATAGAATACAACTACGTTTATGTATGAGTAAAAATTGACTATTTAGGTATATAAATAGGTAATATCTGTAATTACAAATTTATACGAGTACTAAATATAATTTCCAACCACAGTACTAAAATGTATTGCTTCATTATTTTGTCAACGTCATTGTGTGATGAATAAACTCCAAATGGAGTCGTCGTCATGCACCTGTGATAGTGTATACAAATATGTATATATGTACAAATATGTGTAAGTATGAACATTTGGCCTATATGCGTTTAATGTACGCAGCCAGCTACTCATCCATAGCTGTCGGCTAGGCAAAAAAAATAATAAATCGCGTAGCAGAGTGCGCATGTCTGCCCTTACCTCAACGTCTGGCCGGGCTGCGCTCTTTCAAATAATATCCGCTCTCTTCTTGACTGCCAGCATACGCACACAATTACACGAATGTACGTGAATGTAAGAATGTGTTGGCTGCTTGATGTGCAAGGGAGCTGAAAGTTGGAAGGTATAGAATTGTAAAGGTACGTTTTTTGATGCTCCATTAGACGTCATAATATGGGGTGGACGCAATGATTGGAATGTTTAGCGTTCTCACGTGTATTGGTGTATTTGGGCACTTGTGCTATTTGGTTAAATAACCTATTTTGTGAAAATTATTTCATATTGTACTTGCGGTGATTAAAATATATATTACAATTTGTTAAACATCTTTCAGCACATATTACATATAAATTCAGCAACTTCGCAAAATTATTTTTTAGTCAAGTATTGCCCAAAGGCCTAAAGATAATTTGGTCAAGTTTTTAATTTGATCCCATTTAGCAGGCTAACTAGAGTGTGTGTATTGAAGTTTTAACTTTCGGGAATTATATAAATTGGGCGGACTGTTAACTCATTCTAGTTTCGTAATAGATTAATGTAGTAATCGTTCGAACGTGGCTTACGTGAGGCATATTATAACGTATCTGCGCAGTGAGAATATAGTAGTTGCAGCCTTTAAGGCCATACCTACTCTCCTTGTATTATTGCAAGGGGGGTGCTGCGTTTAATGGGTGGCAGCGCGCGTGTATACGTCATACAGCGTAGAGGGGGTGACAAAAACATAATTTCTTTACCCAAATAAATACAAATTTCTTAAGTTACCTAATGCGGAATTAAAATAAATTATATGAATATCTAAAATAAATATATGTATAAATGAAATATCTTTAACAAACGCCACATTAATATTTATATATAGTTGTACATACATACATGCACGCGTACGACGTTGGCATTGATCGCATGTATACACGTCTATATACATACATACATACGTATGTACACATAATCAAAAAAATAAAAACAATCAATCATCAATCGAACAGCAGCAGTGGCAGAAACAACAACTACGCCACAAATTCCTCTCGCACAGCCAACAACAGCACAACAGAATAACGAACAGCCGCCACCAATACCAGCAAGCCACAGCAAGCATGCTACGCTGATTGTCATTCAGTTGAATATTGCCATTCAAGCAAGACACAGCGCGCAGGGGCTCTTTATTGCTGTTGTTATTGTCGTGTTCTTCTTCTTCATTATCGCAACGTAAACAGAAGAAACAGCTGATGGCAGCTGCCGAAGCGCCAATAGAGTTGCCAGATCGGTGCTGTGTTAGTAAGCGTCAGTTTTGGCGTGAATTTTTAGCGTTGTATGAAAGCCTACCCGAGCTTTGGGACGCGCGCAACTTAAACTACAGACACAGAGACTGCAAATATGAGGCTTATGATGTTCTGCAGAGGAAATTGCAAGAACTGGAGCCTAATGCTACCCGCTATGATGTGCAACGACGTATCAATATATTTCGTACAAACTATCGACGAGAGCGGTTGCGCATATTAAAGCAACAGTCATTGGGAGTTCAATCGGATGTTGTTAAGCCAACACTTTGGTTTTACGATTTTATGAGCTTTCTGCTGACGCAGGAGACTTTTCAGCATGGCACTAGAACACGGAAGATACGAGGAATGGTTAATCGTGAGAAGACAGTTAGAAAAAACGTAAATTCATGTTAAATTGCAATAACTATTATTAACAAGCTTTTGTTTAGAACATTGGGCGAAGAACTGACTTCGAGGGTGATCGGAACTGGACCTTTGATGAGGCCACGAAAAATTCCTTTAAACCTGGCACAGTCGTGACAAAGTTGGATGATAAGCCATTGCTTAGTCCAAAAATTGAAATATTCGAACCGGATTTTGTAGCAGCAGAGACAACTATGCACATTGATGATATGAAGGTTGACTCTCGAGAACCAACAATGCTCCCCGATTACATGAAGGAGGACACTGGAGAAACAAGCGCGTCGGATTACAACGAGCCCACCTGTTCGACGACAACTTCCACCATAATACGCGGTAACACGTCGCTAACTATAAGCGAAGGCTCCGAAGCACTTGCCAAATCCTGGGCCATACAGTACGAGGAAATGGCGCCAACGCAACGCATATTGGCCCGTAAAGCAATCGCAGATATTCTTTTCGAAGGCTGCATGGGTAATCTCCGCATAAATCGGGGCGTTCACAATAGCGTTGGTAATCAGCTCTAAAAAACTACATTCATATATACAATATAAGCCTCTGTAAATGCATTCACTTAAAAATGTAAGAAATTCCAAATCGGAAATTGATATTAAGATAATTTCAAAAAATAGAACAGTGTTGTAAAGCGCAATTGTCAAAGCGGCAATTTACAGGTGTTCCAAATTGTAGCAAGTTAGCAGCCTTGATATTTTGTTTACTACAGCTGGACAGGCAGGAAAAAATGCAATCCAAGATTTCGAATTTAATCAATCACAAGAAAATTAAACTTAATGACAGTTTAAAGTAGTTCTAGTGCACATTACCTTAGGAACTTATTGTTTTGTTTTTATTGTGCAGAAAATGATAAAAAAAAGTCAATGCGCGCGAGGAGGAAATTTAATCATAAATTGGAATTGCGGTGCCATGGGAGCATTAAGAGTTGGAGCCTATTCTAAGGATGATGCAGCAGTATAAATATTTAGAAAATAAATGACATGCAATATTTAAAGGAAATTGTTTTGCAACAAGTGGGGTACGAAGATTAATGTTTAAGAAAAATTAATCCAAATCCGGTAAATACATATATGTACATATATTCGCAGATCGTCTCATATCAGCTTGTTTAAGCTGAACAAACAAATGGAATTGCAGAATCTGTACAATAAGAATGAAGGTGGTCAAACAGCCCAAAAAGTGTAGCTTCTTAATGGATATATTTCCATTACAAGCTCAACAAAAGAAGAAGGACATCCAAACAGATTGATGCCACAAAAATTAGTTCATTCTATGGCGTGCTTGCTGTGATGTAGGATTTTTAAGCTCATATTAAGACAGAAAAAGTTTGCAAACTGCAGAGAAAGACGAATCTTTAACAACTGTAAACACAGTAAACACACACAACAGTAAAGCAAATCAATCTAGGTCTATTCCCAATGTATAGGCTGTGAAAATTAAATTATAGAATCACAAATTGTCTAACTACAATGGCGAAAAATCTATTCAAATAAAAAAGCCCTGGACATGTGGCACACTTTGTATACTTCAAGTGAGTCGAAATATAATAACATATATGTACTTGTATAAATACATTTATGGATATTTTAAATATATCATTAGATTTTATGTTGCAGGCGTCCACCAAATTAACACACCAATTGCCGTACTCGCCCAAAACCAACATTGATTAAAGACGCGCTAACTATTCAAAATGCCTTTGCCTCTTCTTTAGTGAAAAAAGAAGCTGTTGCAACAAATTGCCTGCATTAATCAGACATGGACAAGGAGCAGAAGCTTGTGTCTACCGATTTGCGGCGACAGCTGCGCATACTCTAAGCATGCACAAGAAATTCCATTGTAGCACAGTGGTCGGCAAGTTATTGTATTTTTATGACTTTCATCAAAGTTGTAATATTGATTTATGCTGCCTCTGTTTGCTAAAATCGCGGACTCAGATCAATATATTGGAGGTACTTAATGTAATGCTTCAAGTTTGACAGATGAATTAACTCTATTGGTATTTGATAATAAAAACATCACCATAAAATAAAAGCTATGTATTTCAAAACAATTTAGATTCATATTTGAACTTGGTTTCTCATGAAAGAATTTTTATATTCATATGAAAAAAGCAATAAAAATAATCGACAGATTACTTTTGAGACGAAGGAATTGGAATTTAAAATAGTTGTTAATTATTTTTTAAATAAATACCTGATTTTAAATTTCGAAAAATATAAAATAATATTGAATGTTCTTGAATTTTCAATTCAAACAATGGCTTAACTGTTTCGTTTTCTACATATATATTTCTGTATATTTTAACCTATTTCCTTATTAAATTTATTATGATTCTACTCAGAGAATTAGTTGTTTGGAGAACAGTGAGTAGTTTTATTCAAAGTTTACGAATTTCATTTATTTTAGTAAAATAACAACTTGGATAATTATGTGTACAGGGTGCTTAATGCAGGACTTTAAAGTTAAGCTTAATTCCATTAGACGTATATTTAAATTCTTCTAAGGGAATAAGCTTCACTTTAAAATCTTTCCGACAAATTACACTATTTTCCTAAGTATATAGCTGAAACGGAAAAAGTCACTTATGTGATTTACCTATAGTTGTGGTCGGACAGGACTATAGTCTACGAACTTACAAATCTCAAAATAAAGTTGGGAAAATAAAAATTTAAACAGATTTTGTTTTTTGTTGCTACTATTATTTTTATACCCTGTTTTGAATTTAGAGTATCAGTATTTTGTAAAGCTGCAGAGCTCCTCAGACTAATGTCTGATACATAAGTATGTTATGGAAAAGAAATTTATAACCACTGTGTGGGTCGGCCACCCTGCCGTTGACGCCCGTCCAAATGTAAAGCGAAACTCGTCACGCCGGCTGTTGCGACTCATGCCGCTCGCTTTGCCTTTTTGGCAGCGGCTTGTGGCCAACTTCGACTGCAACTGCAGCTTTGCGATGCGTTGCGTTGCTAACAACGCCTGACAGCCGCCGCCCATCCGGTGATGCATTTAACGCTTTTGCAGATGATTTGCAGCGAGACGATGACTAGAAAGAGTGAGGAAAGGGGGATGATGAGGAGGAGGAGGAGGGGAAGGGAGACTAACAGCTGTTGCCACTGCACCTGTGTGTAATTTTAATGCCGCTTGTTTGCTATTTCAATTTTGCCGAGCCAACCAACAACCACCAACCGCATGGAAAAATTCAAATCACATCACTGAGGAGAGGCATTTTGCACCTGTCGTCCGCCCTACGCATGTGAAGAAAATCAAGCGCAGCTTTAATTGATACAACACCAGCAACAGCAACAACAGCAGCAGCAGCAACTGCAATAGCAACAACACAAGCAACAACAATTGCTGCGGCAGCTGGCTGGCAAGGCAATGGGGTCGTGATTGGGTCTCCTCCAGTTCTCCCCAGTTATCTATGTAGTTGTGTGTTGCACGTGTTGAACTTGTCTAGGCCAAGAAAACCGGCGCATGATGGCAAAAATGTTGTAAGCAATGCGTCGCGTAGATGGCCAACAATAACAACAATATAACAGCAGCAACATCAGCGGCAGCTGCCAAGAAAAGCCACACTGAAGGGCCAAGTTGCGAGGGCCGCGTCACAGCACTTTTCAGCCTTAAATGGGCATTGAAATTAAATGCAGCTGCTTTAATCATCTGCCTTGTGCGAGCTCTGATCTCTGGTCTGCGATGGAAGGGGGGTGATGGGCGCAGGATGGGCGGAGTGTGCGGGGTGTGCGGGGTGTGCGGCGCAAACTTGTATCAAAATGGTTTAAGAAACTAAATCTGCGTATATGGCACAACATGTAGTTGAAAGTTATGGTTGTTGCTATACACTCAGAATAAAATAAAATAAAGCAAGTTATTTAAGCAAAACGTTTGCCAATAAATCAATTTATGTCGATAGGTGGAAGCGCAACAAAATACTCTTTTTAAAATTTTATTTGTATGATTATGTAGTACATATATTATTGTCATCCTTAACTTTGTGAGATTTGCTTGAACTATCCTCCACTTTTTTGCACGGGTGGACTCGAATCGGTTCGAAGGAGCATTTAGTTTGTCGGAATATTTGCGTCGTATTTGTAATATTTTAGTTATTTCAGTTGAAATGCTAAGATTATAGTAAATACTATATATTTTTTTTGGGAATATACCGGGGCTGAGAACTTAAGGGTGGTTTCTTAGAATAATGTCCGCATTGCATACAAATTGCCCCTGAGCTGCGACCCATAGTTCCAGACTGTTGTTCTACAATTTTGGAGAAGATGGTTGGTTGTATAGTAGACTATTAGTCGATGTGGATATTTAAAACATGAAGTATTTTATAATTAGAATGCTCAGAGGTGAAATACTAAATTAATTATTTGTTGCAACCCCTTATATTACTTGTTAACCAATTTATAAATCAATTTGCGATTAAAATGTTAAACATTTTAAAATCCTAAGCGAATATTTCGTATTCCTGAAGCCGTTCTAATAACAAATATAAAAATTATTGCTTTTTACTTTTTTGTTAGTGTAGGGGTTGTTGTTGTTGTTGTAGCTGAGACTACCGCTGGTGGGCGTTGCATGTGCAGCGTTGCCGGGGCGTGGCGCCACAAAATGAAATGCATACAAACAGCTGCGCCGGTGGCCGATGTGGTGGGCGCCAGCGAACCAACAAAAAACCCAAACAACAACCAAGCAACAACAACAACAACAACAACAACAATAGCAGCAACAACTAAATGTAAACGCTTGCCTGTTGCATGTTGCCGGTTGCCGTTTGCCGCTTGGCTGTTGCCTTTGCCTTTTTGGGCCTTTTAATGGGAGTTGCCTTATTTGGTGCACAGCCAAAGAAATCAAACAAAAAATCTTTTATCGCATGTTGCTGCTTTTCTTGTTGTTGGTGTTGTTGTTGTTGGTGTTGTTGCAGTTGTAGCAGTTGATTGCACTGATGATGATGTTGTTTGTTTTAGATTTTTGTAGCTACGTTGAACATAGTGGAGAAGGACGTGGGACGAAACACTGTATTCTAAGCCAAATTTATATAGAAATTTTAAAGCTTTCTTTATACTTCTTAATATTTACTGTTGTTTTTAATTTAATTTACTGCTCTCGTTTTAAATGGCTGATGATTTCCTGATAAGCATCTTCGCAACAAAGCTATTTACTTTTTTTTAAAGAAATTGGAGCTAGCTATAGCTTTCAAAAACGAAAGACTTAGGCAACGAACTTGCTTGCCATTGCCATTTACCCAAATGATTGTAATTTGGCTGAGAGAACGCGCCCAGCAGCAGAAAAATGCATCGCCCGCCGCCCTTTCGTTTAGTTCCATAAATATCACGAGGCGTACACGTTTTGGCAATCGAATGAAGCGCACACAGCTGCGCTGACGATTCATAATCTGCGATCGGGCCGAAGATCGGCCATAAGGTACCATCATCAGCCATAAACGGCCGGCAATTGGGATCTACATTTTCCATTGAGCGCGACTTACGCGTAATGGACAATCGACGGCCTGTCTGTTGCCATCGTGAGCTGCTTCTCTAATTTCGCCCGCCTTGGGTTGCACGATGGGGTCAATTGGTGTGGCTGTGGCTTTGCCTACGTTTGACCGTTCCAACAGGACTACAGGACTACTTCTATAAAAAGCACTCTTCAGTTTGGAAAAGAAACTCGACAAGGAGGAGGCTCAATTGAGATGCTTTATATTTAGGCAAGAGATCAATTATTTACTCTACCAATTGCTTAATATAATCAAAAATGCAGATCAGTTATAAATCATAATAAACTGTTTAAAATTATGAATTTCTAATATAGTTTTTAGTTAAAAATCGTCTATTAAAGGAGGCATATTTTCATACAGAAAGTTAACTTTGGACAAGTTTTGTATTTTCTAAATACTATTGCGATAAAAGTCGAATAAAAAGGAAAAAATCATTTTAAGGAAGATCGATCGTAGAGACTAGCATAGAATGGATGGCAAATTTAATGAGAAATTTCCAATTTGTTTTGCACAAAATTGCGACTGACGTGCGCCTGAGTTGCTAGATAAGCAACCGACCTATCTACATAGTACGTAGATAGATGGGTACACTGAAATAAAAATGGCAGTCTAAGCTTTGTCTCAAATCGTGCTTTAAAATTCAAGTAAAAAATGTACTTGATTTAAGTCTAATCAAGATTGATTGGAAACACAAATTGTATTTCAAAAAGGAATTCGACTTTAAATGTTAATCTTCCGTTAATTTTGACAGAAATTCTCAAGGCAACAAGGGTGCTAGAAATACGAAGGAGGTTTGTAATATAAACTAAGTGTGTGTATAGGTCTAACTAATTTTTCTAGGGGGCGAGAGCCTTGTATACTCGATCCTTTACCTATAGGAAGCAATAAATTTGATTTCTAGTGCTCCACCGAACCATCTCCAAAAGGTGGCTTTCTAAGACCATTCCAGTATGAATAAAAGCCACCTGGCTCATACAGATTGAGCGTTTTCTTATAAGAAAATATCAACTTTTAGAAAAAACAAAGCCTCCCATATTCCTAAAGATATAGTTTCAGAACTTACATTTTCCCAATAAATGGTTATCTTCAAATCAACCTCTGTTTACGATCAGATATTTTTTATTTATTTATTTTTTAAAGTTTTTAATCAGACATAGACTTGTAGTTAATTATACTCTGTACATGAAATGTACAAGAGTATATTAGGTTTGCGGGAGCTGAAAAATGTAACAGGCAGAAGGAGGCGTGGCAGACCCCACAAAGTATATATATTATTGATCAGCGTGACAAGACGAGTCGATCTAGCCCTGTCTGTCTGTCTGTCCGTCTGTCCGTCTGTCCGTCCGTATGAACACCTGGATCTCAGAGACTATAAGAGATAGAGACACCAAATTTTGCACGAAGATGCGTTATGTATGTATTCTATACGAGTTTGTTTTATTTTTTTGA